ATTTTCTGCAAAAAAAAGTTTTTTTTTGTACCAAGCTTTTAAGCTACCTATTCAAGTTACTCAATGCTTTTCGCATGTGTTGAGAAATTGATTTTTCAGACTGGATGATTGTAATGTAAACAAAGACGAAAATTTTCCAGGGGGGTATCACCGCAACCGATTAAAAACAGAACTGGACAAAACATCGTTCTTCCCTTTTCATGCCTAGAATCAGCACGTTACAATTTCATGTTCAGTTACTATAATAACCGCTCGAAAAATCGCTGTGCTCGAGGGGCTTCGAAAACTCGGAGCTAACTCTTTGAAGAGAAGTTGGCAGGTTGCAAGCCAAAAAAGGCCAAAAACTCTTAAGAAATAGCTATAGGAAAAATAAATAGTAGTTGTAAAAATGGAATCAAAACAACTTCATAATTTCTGTTTCACAATTTCCACTTTTCAGGTCACCGTTGTAATTCACAACTCATTCCCTCAAAATCCATTCGCACTGAAGTCCTTCTTCTTCCGTGAAGGTATTGAGGACGAAGTTGTCGATGCTACTATTGGTGGATCCCTTGGCAGAGGAGCAGATAATGGAATCCGACAAGAAGATGGTTTCCTTGTTAGAAATAATTAATACATTTCTTGCATATTATCTCACTATCTACCTGTTTTTCAAGTGCAATTCCTTAAATGTTAATCAAAGAACAGAGAAATATTGATTTTTTCATATACTGTATTTCTTATCTAATTTATTGAAAATAAAATTTTCTAACAATTTACCCTGCAACCTAAAAAGTGCGAAAAAAATGTGAAATTAGGCCATTTCACCCACCTACGTCTCTCGTATCTCCCTTAATTTGGGCACTTATCGATGAATGCCCATCTCATGATTTCACCCCCTTTGAAATTGATAAGGACTCGTTTTTAGTGAAAAACTCCTAGTCATTCTTTATCAAGTGAAGCTTCTCTCCCGTCACAAAGTTGACAAGCAATCTTGTGCCGAAATTGTGACAATTTCCTGTAATAAAGAGACGACTAATGCGACTCAGCGAAAATTTTCCTAGTACTATTCTTCCTTAGTGATGAATCTCAGGGGTATTATCTTCTCCTTTACTTATTTGGAGAGGCGAAACAGGCCATTCTGTATTTATCTGAATGTTACAAGCTCAGCAGAACATAGGAAGACTTTTTCTTACAAACGTACAATCTTATATTGTCTATGTAGCATTAGAAAGGGGACTCCGCCTTGGAATAAAAAAAAAAGTATAAATGCTCTTTACCCCCTCATAAGTGTTAGAATCACCTTGTCCTAACAAAGTAATCGCGGTTCTGAGCGTTATGGCAACTTGTATTCTTGCCGACGCCGCCGAGCACATTGGTACGTCGTAAAAAAGTAAAGTGTGTGACATGAGCGTAGTTCTTCAAAGCTCCTAAAGCTGCTAAAAACTTCCTACAGAATGATTAAAGGTCCGCCCGATCAAAAAAGCGCTCTTAAGTCAATAACCAGCTGCTTTCCTCGAAAATTTCCATTTTATGGGAAAACAATTTTCTGCAGACTAGTTTGAAAGTTATATTAATATAAGTTCGTTTAGCAGATAGCCAAAAGTGGCTGCTTATCTGGTCAAGCATTACAATCTTTGCGGAATATGATAGTTGGAACGAGAACTTTTTATCGTGCTAAATCTATGGCATATATTACAATTTTATTGAAGATTAATTGTGAAAATTGCTATAGTCTCACGAACGGCAGTCTTATTTACTACTTTTAA